CAGCTGCAGTTGCGGTCCCGGATCCCGCAGGGAGAGCCTACAATTCCCGTCGTGCTTCCCGCGGGGTGGTGATGGTGGTGGCACCGCGGTGACATCACCCGCTCCGGGGCTGGGACTGGCTGGATGGAGAGAGGACCCAAAAAAAAAATGTAAGCTTGGGATTCCTTTCGCTTCTGCAGCGGGGCCTGGGGCGCCCTGCGAATTTTTTTTTTTGGCCGGCGGGAGGGTTTCAGCTGCCACGGAGGACTTCGAGAGGGTGCGTGGATGAGAAACCCGTCCAGGGCAGGAATTCTGCGCTGCTCCTCGCAGTGCCGGTGCAGGTCGAGGCTCCCGTGCCCGTGCGGAGCAGCTCTCGGTGCCAAAGCTGCTTCTCCTCCTGGGGCCGGTTCCTCGCCCGGGATCCGAGTGTTTTCCGTGTCCTGCGGCTCCAAGGGGGTGGAGGCGAGACGCTCCCCACAGCCTGGCAACAGCGTGCGTGTAGTAACCGAGGCTGGAGTGTAACTATGTTGGAATAACCGGCACATCCCAGTGCGGGGAATGGCTGGTGGGAACGGCTGCGCAGGTTTGTCTCGCTGGAAGTTGGTCCTTGCCGCGGGTTTGTTCTCCAGGAGGGATGCTGGGGGTGCCTGGAGCGATGCTGGGATTTCGGGCAGGGCGGGAAGCGATCCAGCCGAGTGATTTCTGCGCTGTAACGTTGGTTTTGGGTTGCTGTGGCTTAAAGTAAGATAGTGATTTACTCGCCTGAGGACCTTTTAAGTGACTCGGTGATTGCGGGTGCCTGAAAAAAAACCAGCCCCACATAGTTTTCTGAACGCAAATGTCTCTTGCTGTTGGCAACCAGAGTTTCCTAAGGGGTCTCAAAAAGTGGATGGGAAACGTGGGAATACTTGCGGTCATCTTTTCTCTAAGAAATACAGCAGCTTCTCAGGCAGGTGATGGATCCCCTCTCGCTTTTCTTTAGAAACAGTTTAGATCCGTTAAGTGACATCGAGTTAGTACTCGAATTTCAGCAAGTGAGCAGCAGGCCAAGTGGGAAAAGTGGCTTTGTGTTTAATCTCAGGAGTCTAATGAAATTAAAATAACAAATCTCTGTATACTGTGTGCCCTGATCCTCATGCAGCTGATGGGAAAGAAAAAGTGCTATTTATTTTGCCTCACCTGCCAGTTTGTAACTTCTAAGAGTGTGGTTTTTTACACACTCATTAATATATAATAACTTCGGCGGTTTTTTTGTTTGTTTGTTTGTTTGTTTAAAAACATATTTTGACAGGCATTTTGGTTTGGTGGAGTTTAAACTGTACTGTCACAGTGAGTCTGGAAAAATACTTCGTGACCTCAGCTGGAATTTTGCATCCCTGAAACAAAAAGGTTTATATTAACGCCAGCAATGCTGTTTTACAGCACGGGACATAATCTACAAATCATGCACTTAAGGTGCCTTTGGATTAGTTGACTTGAAAGGGAGTGGAAGTTCAGTTGAAAACTCTGTACCTGTTTGTTTAGTATCCCCTTGTGTTTCCCTGGACTGCCAGGAGATAATGGAGTGTGACACGTGGTAGGAGTTGTGAGTGAAGGTGAATATATAGAGGGAGCTGGCATTAAGTTCCCTTATATTTCCTTGCAGCCTGGAGGAAAATATAAAATCCTCTGAAACTCCAGAGTGAGGGTTTCAGTCATGCTTGTGGCTCTGGGTCACAGTTAGTACAGAGAGATAAAAAAATCCATCATTAGAAACAACATCAGTAACTTTTTAAACAGTTTAAATAAATTGCAGAGCAGGCCTTTGTTTCCAAACTACCCGCTGGCAAATTATTTTATTCCTTTTTTTTTTTTTTTTTCTCAATAAAGCAAGAAGTGGGGAGGCTGCAAATTTGAAATTTCTGAAATGACCGATTTTGGGGCAGACTGAAGTTGTGATAATTTCACGAATCCACAAATTTACAATTCAAAAATCACAAACTCCCAGTGGATAAATCTGTATCGTGTGGTTTCCTGAGTGCTCACTCCGTTTAATTCCTTGTCATTGCTATTTAAAGTTTAACTATAAATGTTGCAGAAATGCTCTGGGAGTTTTTTGGGGGGGGTTTCTTCTGGCTCGGGAAGAAGAACCTCACAGAGGTTGCCAGTGCACTGCTCCAGGGATGGAATCAGGGAGCAGATTGGAGTCTCCTCCACAACAAACCTTCTGTCACTTCAGCTTTGTCAAGACAGACCTAAATATAAATCAAATAAAAAGGTGTGTTAAGGAGAAATGTGGGTCTCGAGACCTGACAGAAGTTCTCCCGCGTGACCCGATTCTGGAACTTGCAAACCCTCAGGGGCGTGGGTGGAAGTTTTTAGGCCTTCCTTGTGATTTTCCTAAAACACCGAGGTGTTGTTTAAAATCGCTTTTTTGTTTGTTTGCTTAATAGTCTGGAGAATTAGGTGTACCACAGCACGTGGAATTGCAAATATTTTGCTTGGATATTTAGAAGATTATGGGAAGTGTGTCTGTGTGTGTGTGCATACAGGGAAAATGTTATCCTTTTTAACCAGGGTTTGGGATATGTGGATCAGGAGGCACCAAAATCAGTGGGGTGACCCTACAGGTGCTGTTTATAAGGTTCGTTTGAAGTTCCTGGTGTCAGTTTTAAAGTCCTGATGGGAAGATGAGTGGACACTGCACTCCCATTTCCCTGCTGATGGAGCGTTACGCTGTGGGCACTGCTCTTTTTTGCTTAGAGTTCTTCTTGAGCACTTTTCAGAAGCAAACGAACTTAAAACTATTCGTAAGTTCAGGACGTGATATTAAAGCACTCAGTGAAAACGTTTTTATTTTTATTTTTTATTTCTCAGTGTAACAATGCAAGCTGGCAGTGCTGCTTCAGCTAAAATATTGGCTTCTCCCAAAGCTCTAATGTGACACCCTCATATCCTGAAGGTACCCAACGGGCCTTTTTGGGATTTAATTATTTATCAGTAATGCAAGAAGCTTGTGCTTGTATCAGCCCTTGGAAACAAAGTGGCAGCCACAGACTGTTGCCATTGAAAATCCACTTTTCTGATGGCCCGACCTGTTTTGAACACCTGGGTAAATTTTAGGCTCTGTTTGGACTCTTTTTGTGGGTTTTGAAGCCAAATTGCAGCACCTGCAATGCTTTGGAGGTTTCCCACGATGCCAAGCAGTTCCTGTTTAGAGATATCAGTGGATTGTTGTTTGGGCTTTCAGGTGTCAATTAGTGCTTTGTGAAAAACTGGTTTAAAATCATTAAACTCAGCCTTGAAGTGAGAGTAGGTCATCCGCAGTGGGATGTGGGTGTAGTCTGACATCATCCTGTTGCTTTAGGTCAGGAGCAGGTGCTTTGTCAGGCTTGGAGAATTTATCATAATGTGTTTGTTCCACACTTTATGTGAATAGTGAAAGCAGCCCTTCCCCCAGCCGAAGCTTTGGGCCAGTGGAGATGAAGCCTCACACTTGTGTAAGCCTTGTGTGCATTGATTGCTGACCTGGGACGTTGTTTTGCTGTGATGTAGGTTGGGAAGGACCTCTGAGATCACCGAGTCCAACCCTTACCCCCAGCAGTGCCCTGTGCACCACTGAACCACGTCCCCCAGTGCCACATCCAACAGCTCTTTGAACATTTCCAGGGGTGGTGACTCCACCACTGCCCTGAGCAGCCCCTCCCAATGCCTGACCATCGTTTCAGTGAAGAAGTTTTCCTAATATCCAACTTAAACCTCCCCTGGCACAACTTGAGGCTGTTTCATCTCATCCTGTTGCTTGTTCCCTGGGAGCAGAGCCCGAACCCCCCACTCCTGGCTCTCCTCTCCTGTCAGGGAGTTGCAGAGCCAGAAGGTCCCCCCTGAGCCTCCTTTTCTCCAGGCTGAGCCCCCCCAGCTCCCTCAGCTGCTCCTGCTGCTCCAGCCCCTTCCCTGGCCGTGTTCCAGCCCCTCAATTCCAGCGTTATCCCGAGGGGCTGTGCTTACATCACACCTGGCTTTGGATACCTGTGTGTGTGTGGGGACTTGGAGAGATGCTGGGAGGAGCAGTGAGGGGATGTAGAAATGAGATTCATGTGTAAAGTACAACTTTGACAGGTCTGGTGATTGCTGCCTTGTTTTTTTTTTTTCTTTTAATTGCTTTTAAACAGGCTGAGTCGGTCCAGAAGATTCTAAATTTCGGCTTGCACAGCGATGCTGCTCGCTGCAGAGAGGAGAAGCTGCGTGCTGGTAACGAGGACATGGTCAAAGTGCCACCCCTGCTCACTGCAAGCCGCAGGTGAGTCCAAAAACTGAATTTACGTAGGTGAACAGAAATAAAAAGTGATGTGATGTGTTTGTTTTATAGTGAATAACGACATAGCAAACCCCCTCTCGAAAACCTGAAGGGATTGTTACATCACAATTTCGCTGTGCCAGGACAAGGGAGGGACCCCTCTGTTCGTGGAATTCAGTAGATCCTCACACACTCCTCTTGTCAAAGGCGTTTTGGAGACTTGCCACAAAGAAAAACTGCTGGAAGTTACTCTGAACCCAAAGAAAACAAACAAACAAACCCCAAACTTTGTATTGAATGAATAGTTTTTAGATGCCTCTGTTAAAACAAATGGCCCATTAGCGCATGAGTGCTCTTGATGGTAATTATGCAATAGATCTCTTATAATGAACAAGCATCTCATAAATGTGCTTGTTCCCTCCCACCCTTAAATGGTGCTTTTTTTAATGTTTTTTTTTGCCCCAACTGTCTAAGAGAAGTTTCAGACTTGATTCTTTCTCCTCACGAAAAAAGCTGCTTAATTCTTTGGCTGCTAAAAGGGAACATTTTTCCCTCTGCTGCTGCTGCAGAAAAGCCTTTTTGATGATGTGAAATTGGGATTTAGAAGGCAAGTCTTCAAAATCTGCCATTTTTAAGGGTTTATCTCGGAGAGGTATCTGAATAACTGACCTATTTTCTGCCCTGAGTTTGGGGTTTTTTTTTACATATCCCTATTGCCTGTTTACTTGTGCTGGTTCATTTCCTGGGTAACCCAAGGAAGCAATTTATGGAATTATGATTTTTCCTTTTTTTTTTTTTAGTTTTCTTTTTTACCCCCTGGTTTCAGAGAATTACTAGCAGTACATCCTGATTTAACCATTCCCGGTGTGCTATAGATTAAAGAAGGCTGTAGATAGGAGTTATTAGAAATCTTAAAAAAAAAGAAACCAACAAAAAAAACCAACCAAAACAACACACCAAAACCCAACCCAAACCAGTGCTTTTTCTTATGTTTTCTTTTTCTCGGTGAGATAAAGCAGAAATAAACAGGAAATATTTATCCTGCCAAGAAATCAGCTTAGAACACACAGTGTAAATGTAGCAACACTGTGCAGTGCTGTTGTTTACTGTTGTTACCAGAGATGTTTATAAAAGCATCGCTGGGCAATGCTCTGGAGCAGGGAATTCCTGCAGGTTTAGGATAACTGGCTGTAAAAAGCCCTTTTGCTGATTTATCCCAAATGCTTTTTTGGAAAACCAAGAATTTTGTCGAGTGGGACTTTGTGTCAACGAAAGTAACTTCTTCCAACTGTATAATGAAGCAAACATTTAGCTGTGATGACATCACTTTTCAGCTTATAAAGTGTCCTTCCAGAGAACTGTTAGTCTGATGTGAGCCATAAACTGCTCTCACCTCTGAACAGAAACAAATTCCTCCCTCTGAGGGTGGGCAGGCCCTGGCACAGGTTGCCCAGAGAAGCTGTGGCTGCCCCTGGATCCCTGGAAGTGTCCAAGGCCAGGTTGGAGCACCCTGGGCTGGTGGAAGGTGTCCCTGCCTGTGGCAGGGGTTGGGATGAGATGATCAAGGTCCCCTCCATCCCAAACTGTTCTGGTTTCCATGAGGTACCCCAGATACAAGTAACAGTGGCATCATTTAATAGTCTGAGGGGAGCTTTTGGTGCCCTGTCAGCAGCTGTTGCCATCTCCCAACAGCAGTTGCAATCCTGGACTGCTTCCAGGACTTTGCTGGACAAGAAGTAGAAATAAAACACCTCCAATAATGAGAGAAACAACATGTGAGTCTCCTGCTGCGTCCCCAGAGCTGTGAAACCCTCAGACAGAGGATTTTTCACAAGGTGTAAATCTGGTTTTTGGCTTTTCTGGAAAATGAAGAGCTTCTTCACGTGGGGCTTTGTCAGTGAAAGTAACTTCTTCTAATTGTGTAACGAGGCAAATATTTATCCCATCTCAGGCAGTGCTGGCGAGGCAGAAACCTCTGTGTGGAGAATTTTTCCTCTTTTTAGCAGAGGGTACAGTGGTGGGGGGGGACACTGGCACTGCAGTCCTGTTCATCCTTGGCACTGCCCAAGCTCCTGAACAACCTGCTCTGTGTCAGGGCCTCGACCCCAAAGGTCCCTTCCAACACCAGCTGTCCCCAGGTGTCTGCCAGGCAGGATTCTCTGCTCCAAGCACAAGTTACAGGGCATTTATCATGCCCTTTGCTGGGAGCTGTGGGTCCATCTGCCTCTGGATGCCTGGCAGCTGTTGTGGCTTGGCAGGAAAGGGGGGATGGTTGGGATGGATTGGGCAGGAGGAGCAGTGGGGGGAGTTAACAGCTCGTTCCTCTGTGAGGATGAGCTGCTTGCACGGGTCGAAAACCCCCTGTGAGCATTTGAAGATGTGACTAATAAATGTTGAGAGCCTTGGGAAAAAGTGTGTCCAGCTTCCTGTGCAGGGAGAGGGTTTAGTACATGGGTAATTTGATTTTTCAGGAGCAAACAGAAGCTGTGCCTCGTTAGGCTTTAAAAGGAAAAAAAAAAAAAAAAAGTCCAACCTGATAACCTACCTGTGTTTTAGATGTGGAGTTTTTGTTATTGTTTTGAGAGATAATTTAGGGAGAGCAGCAGCTTTCCCAGGATTTGCAGGGTGGAAAGGATAAAATAAAAGCTCTGCTGAAGACTGTGATTGTCATAATTTGATATTTTAAAATTTTTTTTTTTTAAGGCAGCATTTCATTTGTTGTGTGTGGTTTTTTTTTTTTTTTAATTCTAGAATTCTGAGTGTGTTTTTTCTTTTACTGTAATTTGTTATTAAATTCTCCTGCAAATCCCAGAGGAGAACTTGTGTTCAACTGGGTGGAAGGACAAGCTCTGCTGTTTGGGAAGTGCCAAGGCTGTATCTCGGGTACATGAAGTACCTCCTCTCCTGATCTTTAGACACACTGTCCTGCACAACTCACATTAGCAGTGATTAATGGCTCTGAAAATAAAAGATAAATCCATTCCTTGCAGATCCTATTTTTAATCTGTGCAGGAGTATTTTATACCCTCGCCAAGGAGCAGAATTTATCTCTGTGTGTTGCTCCTTTTTAGTCTAAACAAGACCAGGGCTCGGGCATTGGCCTGTGCTTGTTGATACTGGTAAATTTTTCCTGGAATTTCAGCCTTGGTCAGCTACTGCTTTCCCAAATATTATCTATGTGTGATTCAGGAGTCCTTTGGAGCACAAAACTGAGGGTCCACCCCTCCTTCTGCAGGGTCAGAAATGACCTGTGTAACTCAAGCTTTGTGGTGTCATTTGGTCCCTGGGCCAGGAAGTCATTATTTTCTGTTATTTAATGATATAAATGATATAAATTGATGTAAAATGATATAAAATACTGCTGGTGTGTTTGCATGGAATTTTGCAGGATATTTGTGCAGCCTCTGCAAGTTTCTAGTACCTCTAATTCTGTTATTTAATAGGGATTTGTTTGGATATGTAAGAGCAGTTTATAAGCGACTGATGACCCCTCAGTGTAAGCGTTTTTATTCAAAAAATTCCCTAAAGGATTGTTCTCTTTGTGGCAGGAACACACCTGGCCACAGGATATTTCTGTACTACTTCTTCAAACAATACCCAGGGGAAGGGAGACCTTCCCAGTCCGTGACAGCTTTCACTAAACCAGGGTTTGACCAAGGATTTGTAGTAATCCAAAAGAAAAAAACACCTAAATTCACAGAATTCCAGGTTGGAAGTGACCTCAACTATCACCTGCTGCAACCTTTCTTGGCATAATTAATATTTGAATCAAGAATTTATTTGTAATAATTCTGGAGCAACGCTTAAAGCCGAGTTACTCTTCTTACTCACTCTGTGGAGTTCACAGATGTCCCTCCCTGCTTTCCTCTTCTTTGGAGCAGTTTGTGTTTTCGGGGATGTGAGTGGGATAACTGCCCTTCCCTTTGTTTTCCAGGGGGGATGTGTTTGCCTGTGCCACGTGCACTTCCAGTCATGTAGAACAGCAGGTTGACACCCCAACACCTACAATGTGGAACCTGTGGGGAATTCCTGTTACTGTGTAGTAAGTCATTTTTGTTGTTCACTGATTTATTTTTAGAAGACACACACATTTGTCAGCTTTGAACTGATTTAAGGGGGGGAGGGGGATTTAGATTTATCCCCTTATCCCAGCGATGCTTCGTTTTTCCCTAATAATTATTCAGTTCAAGAAATAAAAGTAAGGCTTTGCTGCGCTGCCTTTGCTGCTCGCTGACAGAAATGTTGAATATTAAAAATACCTCCTTCTCTTTCCAACACAGGGTAAATAGCAAGAACCAAACAATGGACACTCAGTTATTTTCCCCACTATTAGGAGCAGTTCCCAATTCCCCCCCACCCCTGGAATCTTCCCGGCTGTGCAGCAACTGGTCGGGATGTGGGGAGGAGATGGGCTCCAAAACTGCCTTCCAGGACTGCACAAAGAAAAGGTATGAGCATTCCTGCTGGGAGCAGAACAAACAGGATTCCAGAGCTGTTTCAGAGAGGGTTTATGGGATAACTAGAAACCCAGTAAATTTTTCTTTGTGTTTAAAGTTATTACAGAGGTTTTGGGGAAAAAAAGGGGGAGGTGTTTACTTATAAAAGCATCTGAAAGTTTGGAAAGAACACGTTCAGGGAACAAACTGGGAAACTTCTCTATGCCATGGAAAACTCCTTGAGGAAAATCCCCCTCTCCTTCTGTGCCTCCCACCCCTCAGTACC